CATAATTTTATCTATTACATGCTATTCTTTCAAAACATGTTTATAGGAAAAAATATGAAATCCTCACTGAGCAAAGAAAACTCCTAACAGCAATAAATTATCTTTTATGAATTTATGGTCAAAAAATGACCTTCAGTAAAAGGTCAAATGAGTCAAAGTTCAAAATACATACTGCAATTCCATTTAGGTTTTACTTTAGGTGGCCAACATTTTCTCTTAAGGAAAAACTTCTGCCTCTCAACAAATCAAAATATTTTTTTCTCTGACTAGTTAATGAACTGAAAAGGTAATTTGGATCATTTCTTGAACATACCAAACCAACTAATAAATTCAGCCAATCAGCATGATGGCTAAAACAACCAATTGATATAGTTTCTATTAATCATAACCAATGCAGTCACTTGAATTTAGCTTTGAAATATTATGTGTTATTTTAGTATGCTACTGCTACTTTTAGAGCAGTGTGATTTTCTAAACTCTAAGGCCCTAAGAATGCTTGCAAGGTGTTGACACTGTCATCACTTTCCCAGCTGACTTCAGTATTACAGGCCAAAAGCTACATCTTGCTTCATCTCACAAATAAAGCTGTGTTTTGACTCAAGGCCTAAGTACTCTGGTCAAGTACAATTAGATAGGCAAGCATAATTTATCTCATATTACATTATGAGTTGATGAACTGAGGCTCTTCATTTGCATACAGACACATGATAGGAAAGGAAGTACTGAATTAACTTTCAGAATGTTAGGCCCCGAAATCTATTTTGGTAGATGAGTCCTTTGAGATGCCTCTGGAAAAAGGGTCAAATTATTAAGCCATAATGCAACAGTCTACGGCAAATAAAGAGTTTGACTATGTGAATGAAACAAAACAAAAAAACTCCAGGGGATAGAGGAATACTTTAAAGGTAGGATAAAAATTATTGTGTATCTGTCACATATTACAAAAATATAACTTCAGGGACATTTATTTCTGTTTTTGGTTTTGTAATTTTAAGTTTTAGTCAAAAGCTAGTGCTCAGTCATCTCTCTCTTCCTATTACAGAGATATATCTCATGTGATGTAACAAGATGAAGGCTGTTAAGACAGCTGCTCAAAATAAAAGGTCTCTAAAAAGCAATCACTTCAGCAATATCAAGTCTTCCCTGTGGAGCCATATTCAGACACATGAGCCAAAGGCATATCGTGTGTCTTCTTCCTCTCATACAAACTGAAAGGGAAAAACACTAAGGGCAAAAAGACAGTAAAATCAACATCAAGCCTGTCAAAACAACTTAATTATTTCATTATCAATTGTTGAATTTTACATAATGGAAGTATCCAAAATTATGTATTCTTGGAAAACGATCATCTCTGATAACAGGTATTGCTTAACTTGCAGCTTATCTTCAATTTAAAAACTATGGTTATTTAATGTCTGACATTGTAGACAACAAATGAATTTCTCAATAAAACATAAGGCCTCAACAATACAACCTGTTTGCTCTTCCAATCAGAAATGGTTCTACTGTGAAGTGATCCAAGAAGTCAACAAGAACTCACAGATGAACTAATGATACAGTCAATTTCACCTTCACATAACAGAAATAATAATAAAACTTAGTTTTCCAAGATATGATGAAACAAGTATGTTACTCCTCCTTTCAGAATTCTAAACAGAAGATATGTGTACTATCAAAGCAATATTACTATGATGTCAAGAAACCATTTAAGCTGAGAGTATCACTAACTCTACAACAACCTTTATTTCAAATGGATTGTATAAGAGGAAAACAATTAGACTCAGACTGAATGCACATTTTATCTACTCATACTCATTGAGTCAACTCAGAATTCTGTCATTTTATTTCACTCACCAAACTGTATAATACTGCATCCAATTCCCTAATGCAATATGTATATATGACAATAAATGTGTGGGAAGAAACAAAAAACATTCATGCTCTTAAATCCAACGACTCAGTTCCTGAGACTTTATCCTATGTAAATAATACAAAAACAACATCAAAATAAATATATGCACAGACATGCTCAATGTACTACTATTTTAAGGAAAAATACTTCCACATGCTTTCTAAATTTTTCTATATTCACTGAATGGCATGCTAGGCAGCTATTAAAATGAGGCAAAGTATATGTACACTGCTATAAAAAATAAAGACAAAATTTGAAGTTTCTGTTTCTGTTTGCTCCCTTATTAATACAAGTTGGTATTCTCTCCCACTTTTCTTTTTAGCCATACAGGGTCAGGTCACCAAGAATTTCCTAACAGTTCAATTCAGTGTCACCCTCTCAACCTGTAATTTTGGCTGACTTCAACTGCTTCAACTGCTTCCAGTTCCTTCCCATCCTAATACACCCTCTACTTTCTCATCACCTGCTATTTCAAAAAACACTCATTTTTCTGGTAATATCAGTATCTACTTAAAATCATCAATGCTTTGAAAGCTGCAAAGCTCAACTCATTTGCATAGAATGCAAGAAAGTCTTTTCTCAACAATCTCATTTCTCACTGCTTTTATGCATGATTCTCTGCTCCCACAGAGCATCTTGCATCTCTTCTGAATCTTGGACCTGTCAGAAGCCCTACTTGCAAGTCTTTCCCTCATTTGTTCCACTGACTCATCCTCTTTAGAGAGAACTCTTTACATATTTCCAAATTAATTTACATGGGCATCTTTCTACAATATTATGACCTCTTCTAGTCAACCAACATGTCATATTCATTTTTGTAATTCTAAGTCACAGTACCCAACTCTCAGTAGTCACTTAAGAAATACTTCTTGAATAAATAAATGGATAAATAACCTACAACAATGTAAAATTTGCATACACATACACATGTCTAAAAGCAAATGTGAGAAAATGAAAACATTCCGGCGCCATGGCTCACTAGGTTAATCCTCCACCTGCGGCGCTGGCATCCCGGGTTCTAGTCCCGGTTGGGGCGCCGGGTACTAGTCCCAGTTGCTCCTCTTCCAGTCCAGCTCTCTGCTGTGGCCCAGGAGGGCAGTGGAGGATGGCCCAAGTGCTTGGGCCCTGCACCCACATGGGAGACTGGGAGGAAGCACCTGGCTCCTGGCTTCAGATCAGCATGCTGCGCTGGCCATTGCGGCCATTAGGGGAGTGAACCAATGGAAGGAAGACCTTTCTCTGTCTCTCTCTGTCTATAATTCTACCTGTCAAATAAAAGTAAAAATAAAAAAAAATTAAGAAAATGAAAAGTTTACTTCTGCTAAATGGGTTAAAAACTTTTTCTATTTTAGTTAATTTTAAAAGATACAATTAAGAAAGATCTTTAAAACTCATAATAAATACCTACTACAGCAAATATCATCTTAAGTAAATGCTGATTAGCAATACTCCCATTGCTTATAATACTTGCAACTTTTGTGTACAGTAGAATAAAATTAGTAGAGATTTTATTTATGTATTTTTCTTTATGGAAAGTTTTAAACCAAATAGATTTTTTGCATACAGAATAATTGGTCCTAAACCACACTATTCAAAATCATTCAACATATTAGACTCTTGACAGTTTTTGTTATTTAAATTGGACAGGAAGTTTTCAAAATGTTAAAGTTAACTTCCTAAGTAGCAACTTTGTAAGTTCACAAATGCAGTTTTGTCTATAAACAAAATATGAGATTACAAAGAGGAAAGAATTTCTCATCAATCACACATCAAACACCAATAGAATCCAGGAAATACTTTGCATTTCCAATTATGCTACATATTATTTCACACATCCTAAGATCTCCAGCATATAACTTTTCTGAGAGAATAAAATATGCCTTTTAAGATTTTTCACATGTGCATACCTATAACTACATAGATGTAAATCTACACAGAAAATAACAAGAACATTCTATAAGAGACACTCTTTTTAATCTACCATGATTAGTCATGCCTTTTTTTTTTTTTTTTTTTTTGACAGGCAGAGTTAAACAGTGAGAGAGAGAGAGACAGAGAGAAAGGTCTTCCTTCCGTTGGTTCACCCCCCAAATGGCCGCTATGGCAGGTGCGCTGTGCCAATCTGAAGCCAGGAGCCAGGTGCCTCCTCCCAGTCTCCCATGTGGGTGCAGGGCCCAGGCACTCGGGCCATCTTCCACTGCCTTCCCGGGCCACAGCAGAGAGCTGGACTGGAAGAGGAGCAACCGGGACAGAACAGGCACCCCAACCGGGACTAGAACCCGGGGTGCCAGCGCCACAGGTGGAGGATTAGCCTAGTGAGCCGAGGCACTGGCCAGTCATGTATTTCAACTGATACTGCTTTCCATATTCTTTGTTCTTGACTTTATCACTAGATAAAGATACAGTTGGGTGAAAACTTAAAAAAAAAAAAAAAGCTTAAATAACTTTTGTGCCTTTTTAAATTGTATGATAGCAGTAAGTTACCACAATGCTCACTGGCCTTCTCTCATCATGGCCTAAGATAATTAGAAGTATGAAAGAATAGAGAGATGACCCAAGACAGAGCTCCTGACCTTTTACACATCCTGTTACACAGAAAATGACAATATGAAAGCAGAACCCTATAGGAGGGAGTGACAACATGGTGAACCACTACATAGAGCCATTCTTAAAATCTTAGGCACCACAATTTCAAGAGGTTTACCAAAAGAGCCATGCAAATACTGTAATGTAATTTCCACTATAGATGAAATTTTGAACAGTTGTAGGAAAAAAAAATGTTCACATCCTAAGAAAAATTCTGCCTCCAACTTTTTTTAAAAAAGTAACTATAAAGTTAATAACAGGTTTCAACCCACAAACTATTTTAAATAGCATGCTTCATCTCAGAATGAGGATCTGAGCACCCTGTTCTGGCCTGTGGTCACAGGGATTGGGGAATTGGTGTAGCTGTGCCTTCAATGGGCAATGATGTGTCTGAACTCTGCCCTTGCCTCTCCAACTTCTGCTTTGAGCGGGTCCCAGAATCTGGATCCTCCCACGGGGCGCCTTGGTTGGGACTTCTGCCCTCTTTAGACTCAAAGTTTACCTTGGTATGTTCACTGGTTCCTGGGGCGTCTTTCCCTTTGGAAGTCAGGTCTCTGTCGCGGCATCGCCTGGCCCTCACTTCCGTAACTCCTATAGCAGTCCTCCCGTTGGTCTTCTCCCATCCCTTTTTCTAGCTTGGGCTGCGGTGGCAGCGCTTCGTTCCTGGAGCCTCCAGATGAACTCGCTGAGGGGACCTGGGGCCCGCAGCCCTTCTCCCGCAGCTCCCTGGTGACGTCGTCTATGTCCTCTGAATCCCGAGGCGGGCGGTAGTTGCTCGCGTGATCTACCCGGATAGTTCTTCCCTTGATCTTGATTCCATTAAAATTGTCAACGGCCAAAACCGTACTCCTCTGATCTTCATAGCAGATGAAACCAAACCCCCTAGACTTCCCTGTCTTCTTATCCCGCACGAGATGAATGTTAACGATCTCCCCGTACTGCGAGAACACACAGAGTATATCTCCTTCAGTCAGTTCATACGGAAGCCCTCCCACGAAGACCCAAGCGCTGTCCCGGTACATGGAGTGCCAGGACACCTTAGGTGGCACCATGCCAGCTTCCCTTTCACTCAACTCTCTCACCAGCTTCACCTTGGTTAACGGATTCATGTCCGCCGGGTGGGACACAAAGCAACGACTCCAGCCTACCTGCCTGCCGGGCCACTCGCCTTCCGGAAGATGTAGGCGCACACTGCTTCCGCTTCCGGTGGAGGATGTAGCACACACGGCTTCCGCTTCCAGTACCGCCCCCTGCAAAAGTGCCAAGTCCTTGCCCAGCACTCTGCACATGCCATTTTCTGTCACTAAACATCCACCATTTTTGGCGGATGCTGCCCCGCGGTAGGCGAAGCCATTCTCTGCAGCGCTGGATTCCCATGGGCGCTCTGGTTCCTGTACAGGATGCACCTCTTCTAATCCAGCTCTGCTAATAGCCTGGGAAAGCAGCAGAAAGTGGCCCAAGTGCTTGGACCCCTGCACCCACTCTGGAGACTCAGAAGAGACTCCTGGCTCTGGGCTGCTGCGGATAGCCCCAGCTCCTGCCATAGGGGCCATTTGGGGAGTGAACAGTGAATCGGAGGCCTGTTGTGTCACTCTCCTTCTCTGTAATTGCCTCTCAAGTAAACAAATCTAAAAAAAATCCAACTTTAAATGATAGTCTATTCACCGTTCTCGAATGTACTACTGATGGCTAACATGAGAGTTTTACCCTAATCCAGTTTCAAAATAGAATAAACAGGTTGAGGCAAAGATTTCTTTTCTTAAATGGTACTTTATCACAGAAGTTGTAACTACTCTTTCATTTTTTTCTCCATGTAATAAGTCCTTTTGAGAGTCTACAATGTGCTCATTTCAGTTTGGCCCAATTAGGAAGTGTAAATACTTGATATGCTATACAGCAGGCTCTGACACTGAGCTTTACTTAAAGAACTAATGGGTGCATACATAGAAAGAGATTTATTGTGAGGAATTAACTCACTGACTATGGAGGCTGCCAAGCCCCAAGATCTAGAATCAGAAAGTTGGAGACCCAGTACAGTCAATGTGTACTTCTACTGTGGGTTCACATGCATGAGAATCAGGAGAGTCAATGATATAAATTCCAGGCTGAAAGGCAAAAGGCTGCAGACCCAAGAAGAGCCAGTGTTTTGATTGGAGTCTGAAAGTGGAAGAAGAGTAGTGTTGCAGTTCAAAATAGTCAGATATGAGTTCCCTGTGAAATATTGAAAGCTCAGCCTGCTTTGTTTTTTTTTTGTTTTTGTTTTTGTTTTGTTTTTTTTTGTTTTTTTTTTTGTTTTTTTTTTTTTTTTTTGGATGATGGCTACCTATATGAGTACTAAAAGGCTAGCTAGACTTTCCTGGAGTCCATGAGTTGTCCTGGACCTTTTCATTAATTTCTGGCATTTCAGTCTGGCTATTTAAAAATTATTTTCTGCTAATTTTTAAGAAATTTATTGACTTTCACTTCACTTGAAAGATAGAGACAGAAAGAGAGAGATCTTCCATCTGCTGATTCACTCCCCAGATGACTTCAATAGCCAGAGAGCTTTGCCAGACTGAAGCCAAGAGCCTGGAACTCTATTCTAGGTCTCCTACTTGGGTGGCAGGGACCAAAGTACTTTGCCACCATCTGCTATCTCCCTGCTGCAAGTTAGCAGGAATCTAAATTGAAAGCAGAGGCATCAGGTTGCAACCAGACACTCTGATATGGGATGCAGATATGTAAGCAGTGTCTTAGCATTTACCAAACACCTGCCCCTCTGCTCATTTTAATCTTGAGTGCTATATTAGTTTGCTAGGGTTGTTATAACAGTACCACAAGCTGGATGGCTTAAATAAGAGCAGAAATTTATTGCCTTACAGTCTGGAGGCTACAGGTCTGCAAATAGTTATATTATTTTAGAAGGTGGTTACAAGGTTGTTGTTTTTTTCTAAGAACTGTCAGTTCCAGGCCTTCTCTCTGCCTTGTGAATAGCCTTCTTCCCCCTTTATCTCTTTACATTACCTTCCCTGTCTGTGTCCAGATTTCCTCCTTTTTGAGTATACTGTCACATTGCATTAAGGTCAACCCTCATAGCATCACTTTAACTTGATTACCTCTGTAAAGACTCTTATCTCCAAATAAGGTCATATTAAGAAGTAGTTGGGGTTAGGACTTCAACATATGAATTAGAAGTTATTCCACACATAACAAGTACTAACTAAAACAAGTGAATCGATGCAGATTAAATTTTTGAGTGTCCATTTATTATTGTTATGTATTCAAAAGTTTACAAATTTATTCCATGTTTGTTGAATCTTAACTTTTAATAGACATTTTCTATGTTTCCTCCTCCTCCTTTTCTTTTACATAGCTACCATACCTGAGTTTTCTTACATATTACTTAGGATCTTAAGTCTACAGAACAGAACACAATATCCCATAATGGGAAAGAACATAAATTCTTCAGTCAGACCAAGTTCAAAGTCTGCTTCTATTACAATAGTAATTGTAGACAAATTTCCCTGTGCCTCAGGTTCTGCAATTATGAAGTAGAAATAAAAGGCGTATCTACCTTGGGCCTGGTGTTGTGGCACAGTGAGTTAAACCACCACATGCAACACCTGCATCCCATATAAGCCAACACTCCGTATGAGTGTGGGTTCAAGTCCCAGCTGCTACTTCTCATCCAGCTTCCTGCTAATGCACCTGGGAAAGCAGTGGAAAATGTCCGAAGTGTTTGGACCACTGCCACCCACATGGGAGACCTGGATGTAGCTCAGGTTCCTCATTTTGGGCCTGGTCCTACCTGGGCCATTGCAACCATTTGGAGAGTGAATCACCAGATGAAAGCACGCTCTCTCTCTCTCTCTGCCTCTCCCTCTTTCTCTATAATTCTGCCTTTCAAATAATTAATAAAACTCTAAAAATAACAGGTATATCTAACTCTTGGGAGTGTGTTGAAAATAGATGACTTGATATATTTAAAGTGCCTTGTGCAGAGCAGGTACCATGTAAGAACCTGCTATTTGGCCGGCGCCGCAGCTCACTAGGCTAATCCTCCACCTTGCGGCGCCGGCACACCAGGTTCTAGTCCCGGTCAGGGCACCGGATTCTGTCCCGGTTGCCCCTCTTCCAGGCCAGCTCTCTGCTGTGGCCAGGGAGTGCAGTGGAGGATGGCCCAAGTGCTTGGGCCCTGCACCCCATGGGAGACCAGGATAAGTACCTGACTCCTGCCATCGGATCGGCCGCGGCGGCCACTGGAGGGTGAACCAACGGCAAAGGAAGACCTTTCTCTCTGTCTCTCTCTCTCACTGTCCACTCTGCCTGTCAAAAAAAAAAAAAAAGAACCTGCTATTATTTTTGAGTCTGAGCCTTCATTTATATGCTAGCTATCCAATGTAAAGTTTGACCATCCAAATGATCAAAAGGCAGTGTTCAGCTGCCTGTTTTTGGTAGGTGCCTGCTTTTGCCTGGGTTCAGATCTGCCTCTTTACTTCCCCCGAACCATGGAGTATCTGATTTCAGTTTCCTTACCTATGAAATAGAGATAAAAACAGTACCCGCAAAAGGAGTGTGTTGTCATCATTGAATGAGTTAATTTATGTAAAGCACTCAGTACATACTGAGTGTACATTTCATGTTATTATCATCATTACCATTAGATGAATTAACCAGGTGGCAATCCCTGACACTGACCATAGCACCCAGTGACATAGCACTGAGTCTGATGAAGTTCATCACCAGACGACTGCTGTGCCCTGCAGTTTTTTGAATTTCCAGGTACAAGAAAAATATAGTCAGAATAAAAGACCAACTATGAGTGCCTTTGGTCTATGTATTAGTTTTGTTTTTTAGTTATATATTACAAGAGCTATGCTCAAAAATTATGAATCTCAATATCCAGATAAAATATCCATAACTATATGCCATAAAATTAAATATTTTGGACAACTCTTTTAGCCTTTTAGCTAGTAAAATAATATACAGATGATTTACTGATAGGTATACCATATATAATACACTTAATTTGTTTATCCCCTTTTGGGGAAGAGAATATAAATCTCTTATAATTAAGAAGAAAATTAATTTCCCTCATTTAGAAAAATCAATTGAATTTGTAGATATTTGATAACAATTTGATGACCACTTTTTTCAAAGTCCATATATATACATATATATATAGTGTAAAGAAAACAATTACACAGACAATATGCAATACATGCTTTTGCTTTATTCGCATTTCAGAGAAAGCAAACTGACAAATATTATATTGCCTGTATTATAGAAGAGGCAAAAAAAATTAGCCACACATCTGATTTTTTTTTAAAAAATCATTCTGGAACTTCATAGTTGTATAATCAGGGAAGTCCCATACATAGAAGTAACAACATTTCCCACAATCATGCTAATTACTACAGAGCATCCATAACCTTTAGAGCACTAAGCATAATTCAAACAAAAATAACAGATGGTGTTTCAGGAAAACAAGCTTTTATATTGATTTGATTTTTTTTCCTTTTCATATGTGATGTTAGAGAAAACTATATTGGAAGTTCACTGAGTTCTAATTATATTTTGTATTCTATTTTATATTCTGTATATACCTTCCAATAAACAGTATAATTACATTAAAATTATCTCAAAAAAGAAATATTATACTAGTTAAATATCATATTGGAAAAACAAAAGAATAAGTTCTCTTACATATTATAAGAAATTACATATTGTATTTCAGAACAATTTTTACATGTTTTAAGTTTACTTTTGGTAGTTGACCATGTTGGGAGAATTTGAACTAAAGAAAATTGAAACACTGGGTACAGCTCAATGAGACTGGCATTGTCCTATGTCAGTTTATATCTATAACATTCTCTGTTACTAAGAAGAAGAACCAAAGCCTGGGCAAATCTACAAAAAATGATGGAGAGACTTGTAGGCAGACACATGTATAGAGGGTCTCTTCAGGGAGTGACATCAAGACTTGTAACAATCTTGTTAAACGTACAAATGAATTCCTATTGAATATGACAACTTTGCCTGCAGAGTTTTGAAAAGCCTACTTACTTGATTTTGTGACTTTTTGTTCCTTTCCTCATGTGATTAAGTAGACAATTTTTCAGTAGAAGGCCACTTATGTAGTTGTTATCTGGAATGGTACTGAGCAATCCCACTCCTGATGTAAATATCAGCTCAACGACAAGGGCCACAATGCAGACTTGTGCCTCTGCCTCTACACCTGTTTGCTTCCTTATTTGTCTCTCTACTTCTATGACTATAGCAATTCCCCTTATCTGAGCAGGACACATTCCAAGATCTCCAGTGTTTACACAAATCCATGTAAAAATACTGAGCCCCATATAAATAAAGTTTTTCAGAAAGCTTGTGGAAAGTAAGTACTATGAAAAAATTTCAATTTCTGTATAAAAAGAAACATCCTTTAAATCCATTTTCCATAAATTTTGAGTTTCTCTTATATAGTATGTTTTATCCTATACATACATACTTATGACAGAGTTTAAATAAAGATTCATAACAATAATGAATACAAAATAAGCATGTCAACACACTGCAATGCAAGTTATGTAAATATGGCCTGTCACTCTTTCTCAAAATATCTTGTATCATTCTCACCCTTTTAATCATAATGATTATGAGATAATACAATGCTCATGTGAGTTTATGAAGTGAATCAAATGATATAGGCATTGTGATGTCGCATTAGGTTACTGTCAGTGTCACCTGAATTCAAGCACTTGAATACCTTGACAGTCCCGGTGAAGACTGAAATGACTACTATGTGTCTAGCAGGTGGGTCTGTACACAGCATGGATACACTGGACAAAGGGATGATTCATGTCCAGAGCTGGATGGAGCAGGATGGCATGAGTTGTCGTGACACTACTAAGAATGGTGTGCAATTTAATACTCATGAATTATTTCTGAAATTTGCAATTTGATATTTTTTGGGCCATGGTTGACCACAAATAACAGACTGTGGAAAGTCAAAGAATGAATAAGGGAAGAGTTCTGCATTCATTTAGTTCAACCAAAATAATTGGATACCAACTCATTAGTGATGGCATTAAACAGCCCAACCTTTGAATGTTTAGGAAGAAAAGAGAAATTTCACTGTATAATAAGTCAAACCAAATATATAACAGAACTACAAATATAGAATGATCTACTCTGTTTATTATTTGTATTAGCAACTACTACCCAATTTAACATACAGATAAAATAGCTGATTTTAATCATCAATATCCTTGGGTAGGGGCCGGTACTGTGGTGCAGCAGGTTAAAGCCCTGGCCTGAAGCTCCCACATCGCATATGGGCACCAGTTCTAGTTCTGGCTGCTCCTCCTCCCATCCAGCTCTCTGCTGTGGCCTGGGATACCAGTAGAAGATGGCCCAAGTCCTTGGGTCCCTGCACCCACGTGGGAGACCGGAGGAAGCTCCTGGCTCCTGGCTCCTGGCTCCTGGCTCCTGGCTCCTAGCTTCAGATCAGCACAGCTCGGCTGTTGCGGCCACCTGGGGAATGAACCAGTGGATGGAAGAACTCTCTTCTGTCTCTACCTCTCTCTGTAACTCTTTCAAATAAATAAAATAAATCTTAAAAAAAATATTCTTGGGTATAAACTACATGATCAATTTGCCCTGATATTGCTGTTGCATAACCAGTATTTGAAAATATCTTCTAATTCAATTTCCTACCTCATGAGCAAATTTCAAAAGAAATTGATCAATGAAAGCTGTTCTTTAAGGCTCAGTCCTTAAACCTGGTGATATTGCTATTTTCATTCACTTTTGTTCCAGCTTTGAAATGACCTGTCCAGATTCTCCCCTACCTTGTGTTTCAGGAGTTCCTGCTGATAAAAACTCATAATTACATACCCTTCGCCTGACAATCATGACTGTACTATAAAAGAGTTGATACCTTTTTTGATCATTTGACAGAGTCCAAAGCACTCTTGAATTAAGTGGTTTTTATGCTATTTATTGTAAATGATGCCTGGACATTTTAGTGTGTAGTATAGGGCCTATGCTAAACTCTCCTTTACTTTGACTACCCTTCCATGATACTATGGTTAAAACCACACAGAAAGGGCCTGATGTTTCAGCACTGTGGTTTAAGTCACTACCTGCAACACCAACATCCCATCTTGAAATGTTGGTTTGAGGCCCAGCTGTTCTACTTCCAATCCACCTCCCTGCTAATGTACGTGGAAAGGCAGAAAATGATCCAAGTGCTTGGGCCCCTGGCACCCACATGGCAACCCAGAAGGAGTTCTGGGCCCCCTGGCTTCAGCCTGGGGCAGCCCCAGCAGTTTCGGTCATTTGGGGAATGAACCAAAGGATGGAAGATGGCTCTCTCTCTCTCCCCTCCCCTACTTTGTAACTTTTCCTTTCAAATACATAAATAAATCTTTTTAAAAATCTCACAGATAAGCTAAGAATAAATCATTCCTCACATCAGAATATATAGAGCCAGAATTTGGCTCTTATGATTAGACTGAAGATGAAATGGTTGTTAAACCATGAACCATACTTGGCAATAGAAATAATATTTTTTTCAAAATGAATCACATCCTGAAAGCCATTGGTCCACTCATTCCATATCCTTGCTGAATCTACAGATTTATGTTTTCAGTCTGGCCTTTCTTTAAATTATTGGAGAGCTTTAATTTCTTTTCATTACTAGAGATTCTCTCATTTTCTTTTCCTATTTTCAGTGTTCTGCATATATTACACACCTGTATTTGTCTTTGATAATGGAAAAAAAGACTCATCACTTTCAATGCTCTCTCAACATATCTTCATTATCTTGGAAATATCTTCACCAAAATATATTAAAGTGTCACTAGAGAAAAATTAATGCATATAGATGTATGAATATTGCCGGGCTAGATCTCTATCTCTTTCTCATTAGTCAGCGTGCAGCCGCCTAGCTGAATGCCTACATGTGATGCCCAGCCAAAACAAAACACAAGAAAATGAAGTAAAACATCAACAAATATATTTAAAATATACAAATGAAAATAAAATGTTCTTTTACTGATTGTGTCAACATTTCACCAGATATTTATCAATGTATATCATTTCTTTGGGCAACGTTTTACCTGAGAGTCAAGCAAATTCCATTTAATCCTTCACTTCACATATCTTGTGTACTTTCCATATGCCAGAGGCTTTGGAGGCATTAGAACAGCAGAATGGGCAAAATTATGAAATTCTCTGCTTTCATTAGGTTTATGTTCTAATGGAGGTGAGAGGCTAATCAATATACAGTATGTCAAATGATTGGTAAGAGCTAAGGATAAAATACCAAGGCAGGGTGAGAGCTACATGAGTAGAAATGCTGTATCTCAGTGATATCTGAGTGAAAATTTAAGGGAAAACAAAGAAATCAGTTTCATGAATACAGGGAAAATGATGCTCTTCACAGAAAAATATATAATGAAATTCTCATGAATTGATATGAACTGATCAGAACTAGCCTGGGTAGAGAAGTCTACAGTCAAGTAATGAGCAAGTCAGAAATAGATATCCCGCAAAACATTGTATGCAATTGCATTTTCTTAGAAATTTTGCAAAGGTTCTCTTGACTTCCTCCAAGTTTGTATTACAGAACTGCTGATTCTAAACCAAAGTTCAGTACGTTTAGGTTGTTTTGTATTGTCTAATCAGTGGTGGATAAATCCAGTGAAGTTTCATTGGACTCTGTAGTGTTTGGTTACTTGCTAAGAAAATTTCTGCAGGTTTTCAGATGGTGGGAATACGAGGAACAGAAGGAGCATAGCCATATGTCCTCCTTATTGCAGAGCTTAGAATCCAAGTGACACTTGCATACTTTAAGTGTAGACTCCAGCTTTCCCTAGCAGTGTGAATGTTTTCTATAACAAGATCCTGTGATCTTTGAAAGTGAATGCAAATCCCAATCCTCACAGGCAGGCAGTCTCTAAAGGCAATCTGATAAACGCATTTAGATGTTTGAACATAAACAGCCAACGCAAGAGGAAAAGAGTACTTACCAAAGGGAGTAGAATACAAATGGAGTACAGGCTG